TTTTTAGGTCGAAAACCACTAATTAAACTCAAATACAGCTCTTCATCAACTTGATGCAAGGGTGCCCGGCCATTGCGAAGGGATTTTTTAAAGGCGATAGGGAGGAGCAAGCGAGATTTTGGCGGGAGGTAGAGCTGGAGCTCAACGCGGCAGGACCCCCAATAAAAACCGTACTAGAGTGGAAGGTAAATCCTAAATAAAATGTTTGTTGTGAAAATATATTGCATTATTTTATTTTTCTACAAAGTATGAAATGGATTGTTTGGAGTTTGTTATACAATGAGCTAGACTTTTATCAAAAATTAGTTAACATTAAACATTTAGAATAAAAATAGTCAAAACTGCACATAATACGGAGTTGCTATTTTTTTACATGACGGTAAACCGTTTGACATGGAATATTGGCTTAAGTTTTTTATCCACACTGATTTTTCTTTACATGTTTGAAATAATATAATAAACAGCTTTTTTATTATAAAAGTTAATTAAAAAACCAATCATTCAAGTAGAAATTGAATCGCGGATATTATATCTTATTGACCACGCAATTTCCATGTGGTTTTCTGACGTAATTACAATAGGTTCCATATCACGGATTTCGTCTTCCACATGGTCTTCGAGAATATCCACCTTAAAATGGATACAAATGTTGTGTAAGCAACAACAAACATTAATACTTTTCGCTGCCTTTTCAGGCGAATAGTGTAGCTCTCGAACGGAAAGAATGCACCTCCATCGGGCCTTCAAAACTCCATTCGTGCGTTCAATAATATTGCGACATTTGGAATGCACTTCATTGAAGCGTGATTCCGTTGAACCGTTTCTTGGAGTTCTATATGGAGTCATAATCCACGGTTCCAGTGGATATCCCGCATCACCTAAGTATTGATATACAACTATTATTAAATATAATACAAAATGAAGTAAAATTTCACCTAAAAGCCAAATATTTCTTCTATGCGTCGCAAATTCCTCCTCAAAGTATCTTCGTACATCGCTTATGTTTCAGACGAACGAGTCATGTCAAGCGCCAGGATGAGAAGCATCAACAAACCGTATTTTTAATTCGTGGTCACGAGCCTGGAAATATTTACTCTATTTTATTTAAGTATACAAAGTATTAATACTTCCATACTGCACCAGTATAACATTCATGCTATAATAACCCTTTCGGTTGTAGTAGAGGTGTCTGTTTTCTGAAGGAGCGATGATTCAAACGTGCGTTCCATCAACGCACCCGATAACACCTGGTATTTTATGCTTTTGATAAAACGCCGTTGCAATTTCCCGCTGTTCTTCTTGTGATATTGGAAATTTTATCCATCCGGGCATAGATATGTTTGAAACGTATCCAACACTTGATTAAGGACTCTGCTCAGAGTGGATTGGGCTAGTGCGACATTTTAGTCTTTAAGCAGTGTTTGCATTATTCAACTTTGCGTTCAACTCAACGCAGGGTTGCACGAAAAAAAAGTTGAATGGCTAAATGTTGGCGGGCGACCAACTTTGTTGAAAGCGATTAGTTGAAAGGCCATTCAACCAAAAGTTGAATGCAAAGTTGAACAATGCAAACACCTTTTTATGGCGAATATTTTGATTTTTTTTCATATTTTGATATTTTTAGCCATTCAACTTTTTTTTCGTGCAACCCTGAGCTGAGTTGAACGCAAATGTTGAACGCAAAGTTGAACAATGCAAACACACTTATACCAACCCCCGTCTGGTAACCAAACGCA